ATCAAATTATAAGTTAGTTATCCAAAAATCCATAAAATATAATATATCGCGTAAATACTGTTTATCAATTAAATTGGAAAGAAATCGAATTCTTATGAGTGTTGCATACAGCACTGCACATGTAGTCTTTCTCACTCTACCAACATTCTATCCTACTTCCTCTCTCTTGCTCTCTCTCGGTCTACTTCACTCTCTAATTCCATCTTTGTCACACCAGATGATACGTACTCGCTTTAAGTAGGATGTTCTCGTCTCTCTCTCTTTCGCCCTCGCTCTTCCGCCTGGCCGATCTCTCCTTTGCCATTTAATACCGAAGTACCTCTCGGGCGAGTCCGTAAATTTTCGACACGACTGACAGAGAGGAGAGCAGCAAAATGAGATGCATAGGAAAAATAGAGATAAGAGAAAAGGCAATAGAGATTAACAGATATTAAGCAGCAAACATTCCAAATGAGGATTGAGAGTAGAAAGAAGGGGAGAGGATTGGAAAAATATGAGATGTTGAGGTATAGCGCAGATAAAAAGAAATAACGAATAAAGAAGAAAAGATACTGGATATCCGTGCATCTAGGAATAATAAATAATAAATTTGAGAGGGAACAAATGGAGTTTATTGTATATCTTACAAACCTTAGGATCCCTCAGATCATTACACGAGACAAACAAACCCGAGAATCGTATTATGCAAGGCAAACAAACGAAGAGAAGAAAGAAAAAGATGAGAGTAAGAGAAGTGTCATTTCGTCATTGCGCAAATAGGCGAGAAACGGTGACACAAGAGATAAGAAGGAGACGAACATCCGGTAAAAGATTGACGAAGAAAGAGCGAGACCGGCGGAGAGACGGTGAGAAAGAGCCGAGTTAGCACGAAGGAGAGGTGAGGGGGGGAAAAACGAGAGAGGAGAAGGTTCTCCCACGTAACCACGCCCCACGTTCGCCGACAGATTTTTACGTGCAGACCGACGATAGGGAAGGGGGAAGGCGACCCATGGGACGCCAGTGTACGACCCCCGTTTGCATCGTAGAATATATATACCTCTTTCTCTCCACCCGAGAGGTGGAAATGCACACAGAACGTCGCCCAGGATTTCCTCTCGTCGGAAATACGCCAGTCGCGATCCCGCGGACACGCTAAAGCGATGTCTGGTCTATTATCGGGGAAAAAGAATGGTGAGGGAGGAGGGGGGGAGGGGGAAGGCAGACGACGAGGAAACGGCGTATTAAAATGACCGTAGAGATTAATTTGTTAGAATAAGGCATTACGCAGGCTTCTTATGATAGTAGTCGCCCGTGCACGGTCGGGTCGCCGTCGTCGTCTGCATGTCTATGCACATTAGACGCATGCAACACGACGACGAGCGTCCCGTTCCACCAAGCGGCAGCCGAGCGTGTGATGGCCGCGGATAATAAGCGCTCCACATTCTCCTTTTTTTTCCGCGGGCGGCATTGCGCCTGTCAGTAAACAGTGCCCGTCGTGCACGAGCGTGTGTCTTCCGCTTAAACAGTCTCTTTAAGCGAAAAAAACAAAATAAAATATCGATTTAATTATATCATGATCTCTCTTACGCCAAATGCGGAAGTTCCAGCTTATTTCTTTAGATAATATGTATCGTCCATATTAGGCCTGTCAAGTGCTAGTCTCTTATTTATTAAATCTGCAAATTGAGTTTTATGCAAATCGTTTCTATGATGGGAAATTTGTGCTGTAGTTTCCAGATTTAGATCTCCATATCATAAAATATGTATTACTTCTTTACTTTAATTATGCATTATTCTTTATAAACTTATTAAAAATTTACTCTTTAATTTGTAAAATTGTATAGTGTTTGTCGATCGTGTACAAAGAAGGCAAAAAGATATTAATTAATTTTTTCATACACGCGGAGTTGTTATCATGAATAAATAAGCGACACAAAAAAACTTCGAAAAAGATATTTTGAATTTATCCGCTTACTACACCTATACGTTATAGAGCTACGGGGTTGTACGATTAATGAGAATTTCCGCGGCTGAAGGGATACTGCGAGAAAAAATTGTGACCGTAACCCTGACAAAGAGGCCAATTTATGAGCGCTCTCGCTCCGCATGACATACACTGTGTCTCGAAATAACGTCACATGAATTACACAACATTAATCCATTAGCTGCTGCATTGCATTATGGCGAACAGCCCTAACGTTATAAACTTTATACTCATTAGAACCTAGCTTGCTTTAACGTGGGAAAACAATAGAATAATAGGACATTTTATTATGTGGCAGCTTACTAAACAACAAGAGCGCGAACTATGTAAATGTGTCGTCGTAAAATTAATTTTAGTTTTGCATCTGTTACATCTGTTACCGTAATTAAAATCTTATAATCCTTTATCAGTGTAAAATCATTTACAGAAAATACAAATTATATTTGTATAAATTCTTCATACCAAACTGCATGAATATATATTTATAAATTCCAGTACTTTTTATTTCGTTCATACGTATTTCGATTAACTTATATCTTCCAATTTAAAGTAAGAAGTCTTTTTTGCGATAAGTAATCTTAAATATTTTTCAATGAGAAGCCGGAAGATCAAATCCAACTTTTTTCATCAAAAACTTAATTAAAAATTTCGAAAGAATAGCTTTGAAAAAGGTATCTACTTATTTCTAACACACCCGGTATTCACACGAAGCCACGATGCACGTATAACGATCGATTTCTGTCTCGGTGAGTTCTTCGCGCAGAACGCATTCGGTATAATATTAAAAAGTAAGAAAAGAACGTACAACGCGATGGTATATCGTTGGAAAGATGCCATGAGAAATGCATACGTGGCGCATATGGAGATTTAGCTGCAATAAAACACGCGACCCTTCGTTTGTTCGCATATCATACATATATCCATATAGTATAGTTTTACGGAAAATAGATCTTTCACAAAACATTTCCCTTTCCCATGATAAAGTAACCTATATCGAGTTACGAATATCTTCGCTTTACGGAAATATCAGTTAAATGAGTAGAAGTACGACCTTTCCTTTCTTTTGGCTTTCGCGCGGAATTCTGGGACGATCAAAATAGCGATCACTAATTAAAAGGTTCTAGTTAAACGATCATACATTAAGAGAAAGTTCATCGTTGTGCTTTCTCATGTATTTCATTGCAAAACTGCTGGTAGAACAGTGAGAGCGAGAAATGAGAACGAGAAATAAAAATCATCCCACACAGTACAATGTGGTCTCGTGAGATAAAAGTGTCGTTCCGAAATATTGAATTTATATAATCCTACCTTGAACGGGGCAGAAACATGGATCCATCAATGAACACGGAACCGGAGAGTAGTATATACCAACTTGTGGCCAGCTCGCCGGTGCTAAAAGTGATTATAACCTATTAGTTTTGTTTACACCGATTTACCAAAATATTAATGTTACATTAAATTTAAACAATAAATCAAATACAAATTATTGAAACTCAAAGTTGTTGTAATAAGTTAAGTCAAAAGTGTTTACAGAATACTCACTAAACAAGTTTTAATAACTAAAATTAATTAACTTGCTGATCACAATCGAAAATATTCTGCATTGCAAACTTTAACGCAATCAGTACTGACATCTGTGCCTGTAACGTTGCAAGTTTCTCGCATGGTAAATGAGGATATCGTGATACAAGAAATTTGCAACATTGGCTACCGATAAAGAAGATTCTGCAAGACCAAAGTAGCATCTACTGAAGATATAACGTGAATTATGTTTCGCAAATGGTAAAGTAGCATACGATATTTTTGTATATTGCATATGTAAAAATAATATAATAAAATTGTAGATACTTATAAAAAATTATTCTAAAATCATAAAATTACGATTGTTGGATCTTTCTTTTTAAAAAGCAGAACTCATTTTCAGTCATTTTTAAAACTGGAAATTAATAATTTTATAATTTCAATTTTCTATTCAAAATCTTTAATGTCATATAGATTGCATGTCTTTATTTTAAATACATAGCATTTATTTGAAATCTTTCCTTTCTAACGAAACTTTGAATAACTAAAATTCTTAATTTAAATATTTAAAGATTTAAATATTTCAAATTGTTCAAATTTTTGTTAATTTAAAATTCTGTTCATTAAAAACATAGATTCCTAAATAAAAAATGACAAATCTGTGTCTTTCGACTTCGATTAATTTCAATTGTCATGAATGTATAAATTCAATATTTTTAGCTTTTTAACTATTATTCGAAAGCGCTCGAATCTGACTCTTTTGACAAAATTATGAAACAAAAATTAATATCACAGAATTATTGCAAATAATTTTAATGGTTGCTATCTATATAAAAATAAAAGTTGTCTTCTATTGAAATATATATTCTTTCTTTCGTGCCAAAATATGTCAGTTGTTCCAATTTTGAAATGCGCAAATAGACGCTAGTAAATAAAGAAATCAATAACTGGCAACTCTCCTACATCTTGATAAATGGAATTTTTCACAATAGCCAAAACATATTACGCAGGATGTTTCTTTCTTCTACAAAAATATACTGCAGTATTTGCAGTTTTTCAATTTACAGCAGTTCTTTTGCAGATTTACGTATTTTATCAAGTCAATTGTTTCAAGTATACATCTTATTTCTTTAAAAATTATCTGAAAATTACTGATACAAAAACAATACTTCATCTACAACGACATCATAGCTTCCGTAATATGTCAGAAACAAGTTCAAATACGGCGTTGTACTTACTAATAGAGGACATGGTTTGCATGGTGTCTCTCGTAACGCACGATCTTGCAGAGTCCGCGAAGAATGGAATCTCTACACGGACGCAACGCCTCCAAACCCAATAGACCATAGTATATAACCTGTAGATCCTGGAACAGCACGGGAAACGATTAATGCGAATGACGCTCGGACTTGAAATTGCCGGATTGCGAGGTTTATCCGTGAAAAGGGATTACATATACATGTTTCCTAATTAGAACATCGCAGCGTATTCCGTGTTGGTCGTCGCACATTAACTTTAGCTGCACGCAGCAGCAAATTGCACAGCTACGATTGGGGCACGAGCTAAAGCAATCGCCACGAACCTAATCTACCTCGTTACCTCACAGTATGATCTACTTATTGATGTAGGACATGCAACAGAAATCATTGACCAGGGAATCAGTAATAATGACGTAAATCAAAGAATAAAGCCGCGCGAATAAATAAACAGCAGCGTGTACCACATGTTTGCCGAACGCTATTTCGATCCGCTTTATATTTTCAACGGGCTATTTAAAAACATTGCAACTTCCACATCTGACGCCTACTGTCAATTTAAATTAAAAATGTTATTGAAAAAATGATATTTGTGCACCTAACTTAAGTGTGATCATTTTGAACATTTTCTCTGACGTCACAACTTGAAGAAGACATTAATTTAATAATTATTATTTTTATTAATAATTACTCTCCTTTTAATAAAGAGTTTATATATCCAAAAATGTAGCATTCTGAATTTTTTTAAACTAATGATAAGAATTTCCAGAAAGTAGATATCGAAGTTAAAATCTATAGCCACGCGAGACATGTTATATCGATCGAATAACGCAATAACGTTCACATTCGCACGCGGCAACTTTGATCGCATACTAAATTATCGCGCAAATCTAATTACCTACGAATCATCTCTCTTACATGCCCGGGGTCGTCGCGACCCCCGAAGCACAATTTCACGCTAGATCGCCGATCGAATCTCTATCTATCTATCCCGATGGGACACACGCGCGTTTCCAGTTCTCGGACGTACTCTCGTCGGCGCCGTTTCGTCTGGGTTGTTTACTAACACCGACCACAATCAGCATTATACACACGAACGTTATGGCGCACCGACCGACCGACCGCTGCAATTTACACGAGCGCATAACGATACTAATTTCGTTTAGATGTAATTTCGGAAATGTCCTGTCCATGATAATTATATTTCTCTGTGCGATTACGAATGTGGTAAACAAATTATGCGGCTAACGTTCGAAATATACATATAAATTGATCTATATTTCGGCAGCAAAAACAATTCTTTGCAAATGTATATATATTTGATTTTTGCTCAGCACATTGTAATTTCACCTTGCACAATCATCAATTGCAATCGTCATTACGCTGTTTGTACTAATTATAAATATCTTTATCTATATCAACAAATACTTTTAAAAAACAAAAATGCAGTTAATACATATGTTAAAATAAAAACTACGAAAAAAAGAAAAAGATTATACGCTACTTATAATTTAGTTTAAAAAACAGAAGTTGATAATATTCTTACAGCAATAAAATTTTTATTTTCTACCAATTTAAATACGGTTTAATTTTAATTTATATCCAAGGTTTATGATTACGATTGCACACAATTGCTGCGAAGACTCGAGGGGATTTATAAAACTGAAATTAAGCATTGCCAGATGTGGTGCATCGTAGCTCGACAAACGCTCGAGGGAGTCCAAACGAGATTATAAATATGCGAGAGTACACGCTAAGTATCTCGAAGACACCGTTTAGCCTGAAAAACGCACGCAGAGGAAGAGAGCGGATGAACGCATGCTCGACTTTGCCAGCTCGCGCGATCTCAGGCTCCTTTTTACCCTTTTTCGCATGAAAAGTGGAGCGAGTACCGGATGACCTTCGCGTATAGATCGTATGAAGTGCAGCTTATATCTCTTAAGATTTTGAGGAAGATCTACGAGTAACACGTACATCTGAATTATTATCGTCGCCGGGAAAGTGACAAAGTTTTGACTGTTATATGATTATGTATACGAGACAATACTATCGTTGTCATGCGACTAGAAACCATCTATCCTTGAAAGTCTCACATTATGAATAAGGTGGTGTCTCAAGAAAATGATACCGCAGAAACCGCTTATCTGCGCACGTTGTTTTTTCTTCGTTTCCAAGATTACAAATTTTCACTCTCTTAAGCGCTTCCTGCGCAGAAGATAAAATGTTCAGTAAAAAGTTTTATCATATCACTGGAATAAATAAATGATAACTGAAACAAATAAACTTTCAAAGATCTGAATAACTGAAGTACATTAAAAAAATAATAATCGATCTATTTAATTTAATTTGCATTTATCTCAAAATATTCATATTTGTGAATTCAATAAATACTTTCAACGGAACCGTAAAAAATATTTTATTATAAAATATGATTATTTTGATTTCTTCTAACAAAACAAATTTATTACACAAAATTTAAATAGCTTTGATTTAATCAAAGATGTAACTCCAAAGTAACTTTTTTTGCAGACAATATAAAAGAGTTACGTATATTGAGTGAGCTACCGATGGAGAACGAACTAACGAAGAAATCTCCTCGGATCATTAACGATGGCATAACGTTCTGTCGAAACTCGCTAGGAAGCCAAAAGTATATTAACCATCGTGCGTGTCATGACGATGATACATACAGCGTAAGCGCGATAGATTGATTTCCGCATTCCAATGAAAAACGGGTTCTTCTTCTTATCTCCTTATTTCTTATTAGAAGAAAGTATAGATTTGAAAACACTTTTCCAGATAGATATATGACATTCTTCTACACCAGTTTTATGTTGTTTCATAATAAATACAACGTACACATATTAAATATAATTTATAAATATACTGATTTCTCTTAATTATCACGGAATACTGTATGCGGATTTTCACCTTTATATCGGAAAATGGAAAACGTTCTCAAACGTCTGATCTCATAATTAATGACAGTTCTCTCTATTTGTATTCCAGTCACACGTGTATCTCAGACATTCACGATCTGGCAGTATAAAAAAAATATCGCTGTTATACTTTCTAAGTCTATTATCTGTCTACAAGATCTACAATGTACGCGTTTCTTCGGAGATACGCGTTCACACACTGTTGATGCGTTTCTCCGTGTATTACTGGTTTATAAAAGAAGATCAATATCACGAAATATCCAGTTTTCTCCAGGCAATGTAAAATATCGTGCTTTCTTACTTTCAAAAAATAAAATGCGTTGAATATGAATATATGTTATAAATCAATTATTATAAGTAACAAATTCTTTTTTACGCGCACATGTGATTAAAATTATAAATGTCGATAACATGAAATACAAGCAAATATTTGACAAAAACCATTCTCGGCTAAAATAATTGTCAATATTGCCTGTATCAAACCGCATACTTCACCACACGTGTGTACCTATGTACCTCATGTATACACATTTGATATTCGATATGTTTAACCTGGTACTTTACTAATTAACAGAAAAAACGAAAGAGAAACAGTGAAAGGAGTTGGAAAACAAAATTCAATACATATTAAATGTGTTGTTCGGTTAAATAAAATTAAGACAAATATATAATTAATTAAAACTCGAAGAAATAAAATAAGTTAATTAAGAGGATGCTGAAGTGACGGGCGAACTCCGACGCGAAAGCGCCATCATTTCGATGGTACTAAAAATGAAATGACATTATCGGCGCAGCCTACGGACCTATGCCGCGTAGGTCCGTGTGTACGCATTTGTTTGTAGTGGTGACTCACTACACTGACGTGTGGTCTGTGTACGTGTGTCATCGGAAGTTTGTAAACAAACGATGCTTGCGCTTATTTCCTCGACTGAAATTTCGTTGCAAGGCTGCAATATAATGTCCGAGAAAACATAAGCGTATACAAGATGTCAAATAAATACAAACTAAATATGACAAAATAATAAATGAAAAATATACATATAATACTATATATATCACTGAAGAAAAATGTCATATACTTTTCTTATTTTTTTCCTTATGTAGTAAATACTAAATAACTAATTAATCAATTAATTAATATATACATATACACATATATTCAATAAATAGTTATCTTTATTTTGTATTTTATATGATAATGACTGAAATAATGGAAGTATATATCATTTCAGTTATATAAAATACAAAATAAAGATAACTATATTCAATATGTATATGTATGTATTCAATAATTAATTAACTTATTTATTTATTTTGTATTAATTACATAAGAATGTTTTTTTAAACATTATCATAAATCATGTGTTTTTCGTTAACTTTTATTCATATTTCAGTATACGAACACCGCAAAGAGAGATATATCTGTTTTAATTATTTGGAAACTCGTGTTCTATCTTCTCTCATAAAAAAAAAACATAGAAACATGTTTTTATGAAGAAACACAAAATTTTCATCATTTTACATTACACGCATTTGCCACAAACCATTACTGAAGCATCGTTAAAATATATTTGTTTTATTTAATCATATTCAATCCCGTCATGATCAATCAAATACCATTGATATTTATTACGGTATTAATGTTTAGTCAATTTTTAGTCAAGTTTATACAAAATAAACATTGCACGAAAAATTTCTATAAAAGATATCACGATGACGTGAAAATAACAGAAAGTTTTCAAAGTTCAGATAGTATTGCCTCAAGATGCCGATGATGCCCTTTAACCTTTTAACCGTTGTGAACGTATGTATTTACAGAGTCCGAATAAGTCGCTGTACAATTCGCACACTCATAATTCTACGCTACATCTATTATACGAATACTGGATGAATGGATAATACGCTCATAAAAGTGCTCGTGAAATCGATGAATGTATATCTTTATATTTGACTCGATTCTCTTAAAGAAACTTCGCGATATAAAAGCACGCTATAAAAGATACAGACAGTAGTAAAGAACAAACGGTGTTTATTTACTCACCTGAAGGGTCCGTCTTTCTGGATCACGGCAGAGAGCCCGAACAAAATGTGGATCCAAATAGTCCGTCATAATAGCCCGCAAGACTATGTCACAGTCCTTTTTCTAACAGCTCTAGCGTAGTTCCGTGTCCTGCTCAAAAACTCGTTTTTGAACATCGCCACCAGTCCCCATCGGAAAAATAATCTTCGATTTTCACAGCGATGCGCGTGTGCGATGTTTAATCGATCATTTATAAAACAGGCCGTCCTTTTTCATCAGTTTTCACAACACGTTGCATTTTTCTCACGAAGATTTTTTCATCGTCAATTTTTTCAATTTTACATTACGCGCGACATCGTAAATTTCGAATCACGGAAAATGCATTTCGTACACAAAATGTCTTCGTAGGAAAATATTTGGACGAATCTTCGGCATATCTCGTCGGTACGTGTGTCTCGTGTGTTCCTTCCGATTTCGAAGATTACATGTGGGATTCTGCAACAAAAATAAATAAAAACATAAATAAAAATAATCTTACATTTCAAAAATTGTACTAGTTTTGACATTAACATGTTACATAATTTTTTTACAAATTACAAATATTTGCAAAGATTTTTGTAAGAAAAGGATTGATGAGCTTTTCTCATATAGCAAAGCGAATGCGATTCATTATTTCTACACAAATGCGAAATTCTCGATGACGGTAAAAAGCACCGTTATAAATCACAAGGCATGCAAGTTGGATTATAAACGTCGTGAATCGGAAGTCGCTCGTTAAAGTACACCTGCAGATGCAACACGTATCGATCAAACTGGAAACGTCAGCAATCTGACCTTTAACTCCTTCAGGGTCAGACAGATCAGTGAAGATTACACACACTTGCATATTATTTAGGACATTGAATTGATAATTTCAGTTTAGTAAGTCGTATCAAAGATACAAGTAAAATATTACATAAACCTTTATGACATTAGATTATATGCAGTAAAATGCTAGCTTATTATATGTGATAAAATTATACATATTTCTATATGTCATAAAAGTAAACTTTTTCAATAACTAACATATTAATATATTAAATAAAAAATGTGAACTATGCAATACTAATGAGAAAAGTATGGACATAAAGCTTATATCACGCAACGTAATAATTATGAAAATGTAATGTAATACATTGCGCATTACACGCTCATAAAAATTGTTCATTAAAAAGCGAATTCAATTTCGATGGACTACGGCGCCCGAAAGTAGTTTGATAAGGCATACTAATATAAAAGAGAAGAACGACGCTATCTTCAATTTTCTGAAGCCATCCTCTGACCTTGGATAAGTAACGTCACGCGAGGCATGTACCCTAACTACCTTGAAAGCGGTAAGTCGAGGTCGTGCAAGTATCCAGATACTTGACGCTGCGATCAACATTCATGAACCGGACAACGCAGGTTCTTGATCCTTAAAGAACGGGACTAAGTCGATTGGATCGCAGATAAATTTATTTGATTATTCCCAATAATGATATTTAATTCAAAATATATGTATATTATATTCGCAGAATATGCCAGAATCTTGCCGTTAATCGTTACAATCGTGAATTCAACCGATTTAGAAATTCGATTAAATATCATATTTTTTTCATCTCTTTTGACACAGTTTTGAATGATTAAATTAGTGAACTTAATTCTCATGAAAATAAGATATTTAGTTTCTCGTATAAATAGATTTCTTTATTTGTTTGCAGCTATAAGATAAGCGGTGGATAATTTTAGATACGCGAACACTAACGACTTTAAATGATTAAAAACAAGTGGAAGATTTCGTCTTGATTGAAGAGGACAAAAATAGCTTTGGACGTGGATAAGACGGATCGATCACGACCTCGAATACATCCAATCATATAACCCGTCTGGTGTTTCGTATATTTGTTCTATCCGTCTACAATCTTGCCTAAAAAAAACTTTATAACCACACTGTCGAAATATACTCCGAGCCCGATACTTATGCATTATTCCTCTGTTCAGCAATCGATCCTGTGGTTCGAGAATATTCTCTTCACATTAACCTATTACCTATCCGAACTTCAAGGTTCCTGAGACACTTTAACATGTACGAAGACTAAAATTTCAAGAGAAAAAGAGAAGAAGATAACAAGAATTAAAATTTACTCAGCATCCTGAAATACAACGTTTGCAGATAACAGATAAATTATTGAACGACTCTTCGTCTTTAATATAAGGATATATCAAAAGCATGATAATAATTTTTAACTAAAATATTCTTCATGTAGGTAAATCGTTTGAATCATACAAAACTTGTTTATAGACTTCTGTTTTGCATATACCTCTGTATACAAATGTTCAACAAAAAGTGGGCAATCTATTAGGAGTAAAAGCTATGAACGAGTGAAGGAATATCTCGAAGAAGCTGGCACAGCAAGGTGGAGTATGAAGAAGAGAAGGAGCTTCGTCGGCCTTGCGGATCGTTTCTGTTTAGCTTCGTATTACTTGTTTTTTCTTTCTTCGTCGTCGTCGCTTCTTCTTTTCCCGCTTGAGGCTCGACAGGCTCTTTCTTTCTCCCCTTCGTGAAAGAAACTCGCTGAGTCGGCGTCTCGTTCACGGCGACTCGCCTATGCACCATAAGACAAAACGCCGCTAAACAATACGCGAGAGTGAGAGAGTGTGTGTGTGTGCAGAAGCACATATCAATTTACTAATCATACTCGATCATCAACCATCATACAATCATTTAGACTTGTAACAATACGTAATCGACGGTAGGGGATGGATTGATTAATGCCGGCTTGAACAACGACAAATCCGCAACAAGTTATTGCAGATGCCTGCGTGATTTCGCATATAGGTCAGTTACTAATAACTTGCGAGTTCAAATAGTTACGCACGCTGTTATCAACAGACTTTTACAAGTCTGCTGATAATAACATAGGCGTGGCATAAATAGAAATTCAGATACCGTGATCTAAACTGATATGTTTGGTCGATGAACAGGTGATGATTCATCGTCGTTGCAAACGGATGTAACACACAACTTTTATCAGGTAATTTAAAACTTAAAAAAAATTCGATTCTATCAATTACAGTGCAATTGAATAAAGTTGCGATAGTGAACAATTTAATTTGTGATAATGTTCAATAGCATGATTACTCGTCTTGAAGATTTAGTGAATAAAAAGTTAATTTTAAATCATAAAAGAATAATTTGATATTGTTCTCCAAGATTGCGTCATAACCTGTTTACAGCATAGTGCTTTCCTAGACAACGTGTGGGTCCAAGAGTCAAATCTGTCTTCGGCGCATGTAAACGACTCATCGATAAAAATATCCTCACAGTATATGGGGCAGTTCGTAAAGCTGCCCTCCTATGTGAAATGAGACCTGCAGAGTAAATACCCCGCTTTCTAATATAGGACGTTCGGCTTACATAATTACGCCTGTATTTTGGTCCGGTTGTATCGTTATACGACTACAGAATTAGTAGTACTTGTGTTTCGCAAGATAAATTCAGTCGAATTGAATATCTTAATTTATAATTGCAATTAAATAAAAATTTAACCTAAATCAAAGTAGCTGCAATATAAAATTCTTTTATGCAAAATGTTTTAATATGATCACTGCAGTGTGATAAACAATTAATATCTCACAAGTAACAAATAATAAAGAAATGATAAATTACTTATCTTAAAAATGTTCCGCTGAAGCTCGATGCCCCAGTGATCGCTACTCTTGTATGGCACATGTAATTCAATAATTGTTTACGATTGCGCGATAATTTATACAAAATAAATTGATATTCACTGTAATCCCGACGTGAATTTTATCACATCGTAACAAAGAAAAAAGAGAGATGCATGAAATCGCACGGAGTTATTAACCATTTAACACTCTGGGGCACGCAAGCAAACAACAGAGAAAAATAAAAAAATTACGCGTGCCATTCATTACGATTATGTTAAATCTAAAGCACTTTCGTAAGCTTTCACGCTTTTCATCGATATAAAAACTAAAATAAAACGCAGATATATTTTCTTTTTACATCTAGGAAAAGCGTAAAAGTTTATGAAAGTATTTTAAGTTTAGCATAGTCGTAGCGCGTGGCAGATAAAATTAAATGCGCGATTTTTTATTTTCCTCTGCCACTTGCTTGCCTATTCCAGACGCTGCGAGTGTCGGACCAATAATAGCTTCTTGCAATTTCGCGCTTTTCTCGAGTTTTTTTTTATTATAATGTAACAAAAGTTTACGGATAAACAGTGACTTGAGTTTGTTTTTTATAAATTATCGCGCAATCGTAATCAGCTGTTGTGTGTTACAAGTGTCATAGTCATCGATGAATCACTGAGACATCGGACTTCAACGGAACATCTTTAAAATAATTTGTCATTTCTTTATTATTTGTTTGCAATGGTCATATAGCATTTTACATTATTGTGTAGTATAATACATACAAAAGAAATCAGTTTAAAATACTTAGAACATTCGGAAAATATTTACATTATTTAATTTATAAATGTTTAACATTGAAAAAAATTAAACAAGATAAATTTTTTAATATCCAATTAATAAAGTATGTATTAAACCTATTAAATGCTTATTACGCAATTAAAGGATTACTTTAAATATATTCGGAATTTTTATGAATTGACAAATTATTAATTTCTGAATAAGTGCACATTTACTTTTAAACGTCTGAAGATCAATTCATATTATTATGATATAAGCACACGCCTCGAACTTAAAAAATATGTCGACGCGTATTGATAACACTTGACATCCTAGCGATAAGAAAATCGTAACCGCGTGATTTTGAACTTTTTTTCTATTAAACTTTATTCTTCAAATTAAAAGTTATTCGATCAAGTCGACAGTTATTCAATCGTAAATGAAACCCACGCGAATGCTTTATGAAACTACTGAAACAAAGTTCCTATATTTTGGTTCCTTTGATCTCTTTCTTTCATTTTTTCGGTTCTTTTATCATCAATTCATAACGCAATAACTTTCGGCTCAAATAGTTTCCCTTTGTCAGTGCAAAAATCATTAATGCTATACGCAATTTGATAACAAATCGAATACAATTATTAAACTAATAATTTCCGCCATTGCTTGCATTCTCATCGCGCGTTTAGAGATAAACGTAACCGTTTTATTTGTCCGATACGAAACTCGCATTTCCTATAAATATAAAGCGAGAATCGTACAGCCGCATTGCGTGCTAAATGCGCGGTGAAAATGCAATCGCAGCCGTAGATAGCTGTTTTAAAAGTCACACGTCACGGTAAGATATTCGAGGTAATCCGAACCGTTGATCGCTAAGACGACGGGGCGGATTCACCGTATGTAAGCGTAAACGTACCGTGACCATCGCGAAACAAAACGCGCGTAAGCACTGCAGGTGTATGCGTTACAAAAATGGAACGGGAACTGTAGAACCGAGGCGCTCCGTTGTTTAGAAAGTGTATACGCTAAATGTAAATTAGGCC